AGGCTTAAAAGTAAATTTAGACCAAAATACCTTGATCTCTGTAATTTAAGCAGTTTACTTTGCTTTCTCATTCTTAAAAAATGATGATCTTGAAATTTGAAGAATCGTTCTGTTCTGTTTGGTTATCTCTAGAGATATAAGATTGTTCTCTAGCTCTTGGGTTAAGTTGCAAAAATTTGAGTTGGAGAATAAATTGGTAAACTAATGAGGTGCAGTGATTTTTAACCACAGCTTCATCTCAGAGCTATATGGAAGCATTAGAAAATAATTTCTGTATAGATTCCTCACCTAGAAAGCTGGTTCAGTAGGTCTGGGGCAGAACATGGTAATCAATATTTTTAAAGCTCCATAACTGATTTTGGGGGTGTATGCTTATTCTTTCAAATGAGATCACGATGGTAAAAGACTGTTTTGTCTAAGGGCTGACCCTGGAATTATTTCTGAAAATCAACCTCTAACCTTTGTTTCTCAGATACATTTGCCTTTCACTTATGCTTCGGTGTATTACTTTCCTGTGGCTGCTGTAACGAATTGTCTCGAGCTTGGCATCTAAAAAGAACAGTGATCCATTCTACCATGGTTTGGGGGCCTGAAGTCTGACAACATGCTGTCAAATGGGCTGTACACCTCTCAGGGGGCGAATCTGTTCCTGGCCTTTTCCACCTTCTGGCAGTTTCCAGCATACCGTGGCTCCTGTCTTGGTCACTCTGCTCTCTCTGTTCCTCTTCATGATGCCACCTTCTTCTCTGAATCTGTCCTGGCTGCCTTCTTATAAAGAGCCTTGCAACTGCATTTAGGGGCAACCCTGATATTCTCCCCATCTCAGGTTCTTTAATTTAATTACATGGCTCAAGTTTTTGTCATATAAGGTAATATTCCAAGGTTCCAGCGATTAGGCCCTGGACATCTCCTGGACCTCCATGCAGGTTATTGCCTCTCTGTATGTATCCACGTGTGCTGCTATAGCACCTCTCTCCACCTGTCCCCAACTACCATGCCACGTTGGTGACACACCCTCCCTCTTGGGCTAGGCCAGATGACTTATCTCCAGCTGTATGAAGGGTTATTTACCTGAGCTGCAGTCCATACCCAGTTTTAGTCACTCAGGTGGCAAATACTTTGGGTCCTAAGTGGACTGAAATGTAGGATCATTGCAGCAAGCCCATCGACCTCACTCAAGAAAAGCACCTAAAGCATGTGTCCTCACAGCAATGGCTCCTGTGAAAGCTCATCTTTGAAGAATAGAGTCTTACAGTGACCAGCATGATCTGAGTCAATTCTAAGAGGCACAAGCCCGTTTTCCTTCACAGCATGGGCCTTCACTTAGCCAGGCACACACAGTACTGCCAAGTGTGGTCTCAGGAGGAGACAACGTAGTTAGTTGATAGCAAGCATGAAGAGCCCGGCCGGGGCTGCAGCTCAGGCAGGGTAGCATGCATGCTTTGTGTGCTCAAGGTTCTAGTTTCAGTCCCCGGCACCAAAAAAAAAAAGTAGTTTGTGAGTCAGAGTTTGTGAAAACCAAGTATGGGACCTTGAGGATTTAATTCACTTTGGGCTTCATTTTCCTCATGTAAGGAAGTGTTTGTTTCATGAGCTCAGGCTCCTTTTAGCAGTTCCGTTGTGTTGTTTCTTCTCTTATTAGAAAGGAGAAGAGGAGCCAGTGTGCAGATGCATTTATAGAGAAGAGGTAAGAGGTTAAGGTGGCTTATAATGAAGTTAAATGGTGAATATCTAGTGGTATCAATTTGTGCTATTAATTTTTTCTAGTATGGTTGAATAGGTCACAAATTGGGGAAGTTTTGCAGTCCAGGAAGGTTTTGCGAATGGTTAGATCAACAGTATCCCACCCCTACCCCCATTAACAGTTTCCCCAGAGCCCTTGATTTCTGAGCTAGACCTAATCATAGTGCCTCATTACCTGGCTCACAGACTGGTTCTCAGAAGAACAGGTGCCTAAAACTACAACAGTGAGACACTCTATCTGGGAGTTTTCACACTGGAAAGAAAGAACTGTTTTCTCTTCTTGAGAGAGAGAGGATGTGGACAGGCATTGCTTGTAGTGGACACTTTTCTTGTGTTACAGAGAAACAAGGACAAGACCTGTCTGGGGTGGGAAGAAGAAAGAGGTCTTTGAATTCCCGTATTCCTAAGGCTAGCTCCATCCATACCTTTCTATGATTTGGCTACATAAACTTTCAGGTTCCCCTTATCCCTAGTTTTGGTATCTGTCACTTGAAACTAAAACAAACAAACAAACAAAAAAACCTTGATTCGTACACAGGATGTCAGTGTAAAGAAGTCAGGGTAGGATTAGTTAAGAGTTACATGTTTTCAGATACAACAGATAACATAACAAAAAAGTTGAAGATAAAGGTTGAGTATCCATCATCCAAAATGCTTAGACCAGACGTATTTCAGATTTTAAATTTTTTCACATGTTGGAACATTTGCATAGGCATAATAGGATATCTTGAGGGGGGACTCTAGTCTAAACATGGAATTTGTTCTCTATACACTAATCACATAGACTAAAGGTAAATTTATACAGTGTTTTAAAGTTTTGTGTATGACATGAACCAAATTTAGTGGTATGGAATTTTCCTTTTTGTGGTATCAAAAAGGTCCCAATTTTGGAGCATTTCAAATTTCAGAGTATTTTGGATTTGGAATTTTTAGATTAGGTATGCTCAACCTGTGTTAACAAAACTGCTTGAAGTGATAGATCATATGGTGCATCATGGAGTCTAGGTTGACTCCTGGGTAGGAGGTAAAGAGCAGACATGGGCACTCGGTTTCTAACTGGGCTGGGCATAAAAGCATAGAACTTGTGAGCCAGGTCTGGAAGTTTTAACTGCTTTTGTAAACCATCTTCCTTTTATTAATAACACTAATGGCTCATGATAAAACACTACAGAGAATCAGGAAAATACCTTTCTGATTTTGTAATTATAAAGGATCGGGTAGCATCTACCTTTTTAGATTTGGCATGCTACAATAAAAAAAAAAATTATTATAAACCCAGGGTGAGGACTTGACCTACAAGTCTGATGACAGGTCTGATGAATTTAATGAGTGACTTTTCATGAGATTTTTGTCGAGTTCCATTTCTTGTAAAGCAAATACCCTCAAGTGCAAAACAATTTGAAAAGAAACTGTTGAAAGGAAGAATTGAATGTATTAGAAAATCTTTAGATGCTCAGATATAATTTTCCGACTATCTACCTTTATAATCAGCTTTAAAAAGATCTTTGCCACCTGGTGAATTACTCTGCGCAATATTGAGTATGCTAGGAGATAAAGAGCCTTCAGTGATCTTTCTCTTTTCAATTGCAGTTTCCCAGCCCACTATTACTGGTGGGTTCAAAATGGCTCAGACAAGTAATAGAATCCATTTAAAAGGCATTTGTCCAGCAAAGTCCTGAGACACTCTGCACCTCCTAAGTGTTCATCTTCAGGAGACATGAGCTATGTCATAGGCTTTTGGAGTCCTTTAGTAAATTTCGAGTTTTTCAAACAGAACATCTAATTTATAGTGTGTTCTTTGCACTTTAATTCATCCTTTGTTTTAATTTGCAGTTCTCTCATTGTCTGAAGACATACTTTACCATGTCCTAATAAGGATAAAATGTGTCCTGATTAGTATTCACTATCACATTAGTCAGTAAACTATTATGCCATACTGGAGAACTTCCACATTACCTGTCAAAATAGTGTTTAAGGATACATGTTTTGAGTCTTAAGTAATAGAAAATATATAACTTTTTTACATTTGTACTAGATTTGGAAGTGTTTTGATGAAAAAGGAATTCAATACTTACGTGCAGTCTTTCTGCACGCAGACACTGGGATGAGACATATTAAGAGGGAGAAGATAGGAATTCAAGGCATTTCTACCACTGCTCTGCTGGTAGGCAGGTTCTGAATCCCGCCTTTCCTTGTGTAAAAGAGGATCTGTATGGCATCTAATTCCTTCTTTTTTTCCTAATTCAAAGTCTTTGCAAAACCTTCAAGCTGTAATAGGTCCAAGTCCTTTAAGGAAAAAAAATGTTCCAATGTAATAATAATATTATACATAAAGTTCTTTTCAGTTTAATTTGCTGTTGTGGTTTTATATCTTAGAAATACACTTGTTTTATCTTTGTAATATCTCATTCAAAATTTAAAGCATTTTTTCCAGGTAGTCGTTGTAATGGAATAAGTTGATTTATAAGGATTTTATATGTAATGCTGGGGCTGGGAGAATCGGGGAAGCAGTCTTAGGCTGACTTGACTGTGTTCTTATTGTTACCAAGACCCTAGGAAGCTTTCTGTTCCCTCCACCACCACACACGGGAACCAGTATAATACTTCACTATAAAGCAGAATTATGACATTAGAACAATAAGAACTGCTTAAGTCATTGGTATTGAAATACATTTCCATATCTGGCTTCAGCCCCCTTCCATGCATCTTATCTAGATGCCATGAAGTCTTCCATAGGTAAAAAAGAACCTGAGTACCACCAATATTTGTCTAAATTAATGAAACTGTAAGTTAATTTAATGAATGAGTTTAATTTTAATCACATCTAATTTTACTTTATAATACATAGGGTTGTCTTATTTTTTTTAAATATGTATATTTTTTAGTTGTAGTTGGACATAATACCTTTATTTTTATGTGGTGCTGAGGATCGAACCCAGGGCGCCTTGCACGGGTAGGCGAGCGCTCTACTGCTGAGCCACAACCCTAGCCAGGTAGTCTTTATTTATAAAAGACATTTTCTAGTTGTGAAAGTGTTTCATAAAACTCTGCTCACTTTGCACTTGTTTGCCCCACTTATTTCTTCCTCACCTTCCCAGAGCGTTGGCAAGGGGCTCCAGGCCCTCCTGTTCAGATGGTCAGACTGGGAAGGTGTGAATGAGTTACTTGCAGACTCAGTAAAGCTTTGGTCATGTGCTGAATTCAGAATATGGAACAGAATGAAAACAATAATTCAATCTTATTTTTTCTCTTTACAGGCTCTGTACAACTCAATCAAGAATGAGAAGCTGGAATGGGCAGTGTAAGTATGCTGGATGGATGTCAACCTTTTAATAATGAACAACTCCCTTTATTTCCTATTTTCTGTCTTCATGCCTCGGAGGTGATTTCAGAGGGACATTAAATATGTATTGTCAGCTCTTATTTTACACTAAGTGTCTTAACTACTTGTGTAAAACCTTAGTGAACAATGAGTGTGGATTTTTCTTGTTTGTTTTTCCTCTTGGCATGCAGAATGCTTTTGCTTTAATCTGGTTGCTCTGTGAACAATTTTATTTACGTGTATGTACATGTAACACATATACACACTTTTTTTTTTTTTGCAGTCCCGGGAATTGAACCCAGGGCCTCGCACATACTAGGCAGGTACTCTACCACTAAGCTATATTCCCAGCCCCAATTCATTGTATTGTTAATGTGTCCTTTAAAAATAGCATTCTGAAAAAAAATTTGATAAAGTTGTATTTATTTCAAAACCCAATAAACATGATTTGGGTGCACTACTTAATTTTAGTTCTCCCCTTCCTATCATCATAAATCAAACCTTTCTAATCCTATTTCCTATGAAACTATCATACAAGGACATGGATAGATACTAACCATGAAAAGAAAAGCAGTCTCTGGATAGATAAGCTTGAGAAGCTATGAACTAAATAAAGGTAAAAAAATTTTTAGCTTAAAACCTTTCAGGAGGCTTATACAGTGCCATTGTATATTATCAAGAGAAATGAAGTTTCTATGTTTCCTGAATCTATTTGACAGTAAAATTGTAGTGTTTCAAGGTACCCATTTTGGAAATTAGTACCACAGTAAGTTAGCTTTACATAAATTGACAATACTGCTTTTTAAAAATATTTTTTAGATGTTGATGGACTTTTATTTTATTCGTTTATTTATATGTGGTGCTGAGAATCGAACCCAGTGCCTCACACATGCTAGCCAAGCACTTTACCTTTGAGCCACAACTCTAGCCCAGACAATACCTCTCTTTTTAAATTTTCACTAATCAATACAACAGTTGAAAAAATATTGTTAAAAATTGTTATGAAAGAATCTTCACTAAATCTTTGATCAAATATTGAGATATTATGTCAAAATATGTTTTAATATGAGCTTAATGCAAATTTTATTTTTTATTTCCACTAATGGAGTGTGTGTGTGTGTGTGTGTGTGTGTGTGTATGTGTATGTGTGTGATTTTTTTTTTTTAAACCAAGTGGCTTAGCAATCTATAGTGAATTCAGCTTTATAGAATCCTAACTTGGAAGATGAATCTTGTTTTTCACATGTACTTTGGGGGAAAGTGGTTTAGCAGATAACTAGTCTCATATTTAATATGCTAGAGTTAATTTTTAAAAAAGTAAAGCTGCTCAAATTAAGTTTCTACTAACTGCAAAGTTCTATGGTACTGTTTTAAATTAAGGAGTCAAAGTTTAAGACTTGTATATTTGCATATATATATAAATGGCTTATATGTCTGTGTGTTCATACATGATGAGTCTCATTTAAAGACAGTGTGCCATTTCAAGGAAAGCTCAAGACAATTAAGAATCTATGGTACAAAATCCAAGGTAATAATTATTTTGGATTTATATCTCATAGTTGAATGTATGTTTCCTAGAAAAATTCTGTGCATGACATATGTAGAATCTTGCTGAAATGCTGAAGGCATATCCTGATCTATGCAGAATATACTCTCTAGAGAAAATTCATAAAAATGAAGTAATTGTAAATATATTCACACTGGACAAGAGAATATTTTGAGGATGATTTTACAAAATTATTTTACAAAGCAAATATTATGCTCCCGAGAACCTGCTTTCTAAATCTTGTTTTTTTTAACACATCAGATTTGTTTCTATATGTTTCTATATATATGAATTGTATTCATATATTTATGTGCAGTTGGGACGTGGTGCAAGAAAGTTTTATCTTGAGTCCTATCCAAGAGGGTGAGAGATGGATGATAGTGTATGCAAGAGCTGAATTCTTCTGTGTCCTTTTGTCAAGTCAGCAGAGCATTTTGTTCAGGAACCCAGGTTTCAGAGTCAGATAAAGTTGAGTTTGAGTTCTAGCTTTGCCATGTACTAGTTGGGTCACAGGCCAAGTTAGCTTCTAGGCCTCAGTTTCCCATTCTGTAAGATGGAGCAGTTATTGAGCTTAATGTAACCAAAAGTGTAGTAGGGTCTTTTTTTTTTTTCCTAATACTCCAATTGATAGTCATAATATCCTACCTAATGCTGTAGCTTTTAAAGCCCCAGTTTCTATTTCTTAAATTTCTCTTTCATATGCCTGTACATATACTACATTCTTATGCTTTTAAAGAATACAATAAGGCACTGTAGTAGTAAAATAAAGGGATTAGATTAAATGATCACAAGTGTCCTTCCCAGTTCCAAAGTTCTGAATTTTATTATACATAGCACTTTCCTCAACTGAGGTCCTATGGAAACAGCATTGAAGTATCTGATGGAGATAAAACAGTCTGTGGTTCAGATGAGCCTGTTACTGAAAAGCTTGTCCTTGTCCCCAGTGCCAATCCAATTACAAGGGTGTGGTTTTGAAAAAAGACTAAAGAAGCCTTATTGCTTTGCTAAGAAAGAAGAAATACAGGGTTACTCCTCTCCCAAAGGACCTCTCCAACCACTTTTTCCTCCAACTCATTTTTCACCTAGAACCAATTAATGTTGGTACCAGTGCTTAGACATGTCTTCTTTCAATATAGTCTCTTTCTTAACAATCTCATTCATTCTTGAAACTTCATTTGCCATCTCTATAAAAGATCTCCAAGGTAAAAATTCTGATTCTGCTCATCAAGGGAACAGAGGATCTATAAAGCTCTAATAAATAAATTAATATACAAATAGGAGGTTCAAAGGCTGCATTCCAAGGGTTCCCTGTCAGGGGAGGGTGCCGGGTTTCTGTTCTCACGACTAAAAGGCTCAGGGGTCACTCTAGTTAAACTGGGCTAACTGGGCTGCACGAAATAACCACACAAGAGACACAAATACCTTTTTCTTTGGGGTTGCTGTGACGGCTCCTCTGACCTTAAGGGTCCACAGAAAGAGAGAGAGAGAGCACGCGCTGACCCCTTTTATTGAGGAGAAGCTATTCAAATGAGGCAAGGGGTCAGGTTTCAGGGGGCTGAGTCTATCTTCATGATGTCCACTGTCAGCAGGTTGACTGACACCTGGGTAGGCCACACCCAAGGGCACAGTAAGAGGAGGGGACACACACAAGGCACTTCCATGGAAGATTCTATCCTAAACAGGGCAAGGGGTTATATTACAAAGGAACAGGTGATCATAGCTTCACCCATGGGGCTGTAGCAAGACACACCCATTTCTGTGACTGAGCGCCTCAGCACCCAGCTGGGGAATGTAACTCAGTCACCGGTGAGGTTGGCCTTCCACAGGAGGGTATGTGTGTGGGGTATTTTACTTGTTAATTTGGGAAATAGTAATTTCTTAGATCTTCTGGAGACATCTTTGAAGTCTAAATTATTTAATTCCTATGCTGAGTTGTATGCCCAGAGACAGATAACTCTGCCTAGGACAGGGAAAAATGGTAATCCTGTTTGCCCCTGAGATTAGGGAGGGGAAGAGAGAGGAAGAGAAAGAACACTTCCATTTTAAAAATAAGCCACATTGGCAGAGCAACAGGGCTGTTTTCATAGAATAAAGTGGACCACTGCTACAAGCATGGTGTGAACAAAAGTTACACAGATTTCTTTTTTTCCCAGCTGATTCGGCCTTTAACAATCTGATGTGTATTTTAAATTTTGACCAGAGATGAAGGGCTAGTCTAGTCCCTCTGCTTTATAAATCACCGGGTCTGCTTTGATCACAAAGCACTTTTTAACATTCACTAAAATTAGTGGTCTCTAGAACACACTTTAGAGGACACTGCTGTTCAGTTTATGTGCTCTATCAGGAGCTTCTTTTTCCTTTTTAAACTTGTATGTGCATGGATATTGTCATAATACTGTGGTCTTCAGTTCTCCTAGGACCTTTCCAACCATTCTTCCTCCAACTCATTTTCCACCTAGAACCCATTAATGTTGGTACCAGTGCTTAGACGTGTCTTCTTTCCATATAGTCTCTTTCTTAATAATCTCATTCATTCCTGAAACTTCATCTGCCATCTCTATAAAAGATCTCCAAGATAAAAATTCAACTCTGACCTCTTCCCCATGTTTCAGTTCAATATATGCATTTTCCATGGGACACTTCTGCCAGCACTTAGCAGTCATCATCTGTCTCCCACTTTTGTTGTAGGTTCTCCATTCCAGGTAGCCACAGAGTAGTGCTTACCTGGATTTTAGCCCCTGTCCTCTTTGATTCCACTCACTCTTCACTCCTGAAGTGGCTTCAGTGCACATCCCATCTCCTCCTCCTCCTCCTCCTCCTGGGATTTATACTTTTTCCCTGTTAACCCAGTCTCTTTCCTTTAACCCATTTGAAACATCCCTGTGTGGTAAACTTCAGTTAGTCCCTGTGCACTTGGCCTGTAATCTCATTTGTTCCTCATTATTGTCTTCATGCTGTTTTCATTTCAACCCGGCTACCATTAGATACAGTTCTTTGTGCTTGTCCTATGGCTTCCTGGTCATTTCCATGGAGTGACCTTTACTTGCCATCTGTATCTGCCCTACCTTAGAGCCCAGTTTAGGTAACACCCATTCCTTGAAGTCTTGCCTGATCTTGCCAATTAGAAATCATCTCAGTCCTTAAAGGTCCATTTTACTTTATTTGATGACACCATCAGTTTTACTTCCCATTATAATTCTTTATCATAAGGTATCATCAGACTGTAAGTTTTTTAATTGACACATGTGTATCATTTCCTTAATCTCCTTTGCCTCAGATATGTAATGAAGATCCATGATTGTCTATAGAAAAGATTAGGTGTGTAGCTCAGTGTGTGAGCACAAGACCCTGGTTTTAATCCCCAGCATGGGGATTGGGAGTATAGAAAGTCCATTAATAATACTCAAAGATTGCATTCTTGAAAGATAAGTCAA